CTATTCATCTATAGTCATAGAATTCCTGGATAGAACTCCACATTTTTCTTAGTACGGCTTCTTCATGTCCACTACTTCTTTCAATGTTCTCAGTTTTTTGAGTCTGGCGCTGCTCTGACAAGCCATAAATGCCGCTGCCACCGCGGGTCAGAAAATGATTTCTCAGCGGCCCGGACGTCCGGACCAGCAGACGAAAGCTTGACTCATGTGGACCGATCAACTATGAGCCCATGAGCCCATGTGCTTCCCAAACAAGACCATCCAAGGGCCTGTATTATCTGAGCCAGCGCTTGACACCAAATGACATATGATGACATATGTATTGTGGGCAAACTATGGTTTGATTACTCTGACAACATCGAGTGCTCACACCAAAAAGGGAGCTGGCACTACTTTGAAACCTTCTGCCCACCACGAGAGGTTGGAGAAGTCCTTCAAAGTTGAAGTTGTCGCACGAGCAAAACAACAACAAAACGTTCCAGTAGCACAAACCTTTCAAGTTTCAAGCAGTAAGCAAAACATTGCTCAAAGGTCTCAGCCTCCAGCACATAGCATAGTTTGGTCCAACCATATCTAAACACTCCAAGACATGATGGGCAAATGAACATCACCGATATGATGGAGACGTTTATTTACTACGATAGAACATAATGATAAAACATGGTTTCTCCGTTTTTGAGGTGCCCTCAAGTTTCACAAAGCATCGCGTCGCTTTCCCGTCCGCCGATCTGTCGGTAACATCGTGAGCCCGCGCACACGGTGGATTCTCATGTTCCTACGTGGCAGGCTGTCTTGGCCTTGAAACGGCTAAATATGCAGCTTGGAGTTTGGCCTCCGATTTGTGTCGCCAGCCTTGATTCTGAGCCTTCATCAAACTGCTTTGTCAACATACATCTTTAGACGAGGTGCGTCGACCTATATCATGGTGAGAGGTCTCATACAGTGCAAGTTTGAGACGTAGAGAGAGTGGGTAAGTCAGACCGGCGGTCCACAGAAAGAACACAAAGAAGTGGCAAAAGGGACAGGCTCACACATTGCAAAGGCGAAAGCACGCGAGATCTGTGTCTTTAGCAGTGTGCAATGGCTTGCGCATGGAACAATGACCAGCATGTCAGCCTTGAGATCAAGAATCATGAAGCATACAAATCATACAACGTTGTAGATCATGGAGTCATGGAGGCTAAACCTAGCTGCAGTCCATCGCTGTAAGGTTCGTCGTGGCAAGGGCTTGCGCGCTTCGCCTCACTGCCTCGAGATGACAAACCTCATTTCAGAATGAGCTACAAACAAGAAGAATGATGATTTGCTGCGTGCAGGAAGATCACAATAAAAATGTCTCAACTGACTAGATAGCCGATACACCCTAGTTAGAGGAGACACAAAAATATATATATATACACACACACTTTATGCAGCTTCTGCACTACCCGTCACTTCCCCCTTCTTGATCTTCTTCCCTTGCTACGAGGCTTGAGGTGCGGAATGCCAAACAAACCTTGAAACAACTACAGTGTAGTGCTGTAGTATTTTTCTGGAGCGAATCAGAACGTGTGGGCCTCAGAAGGACGAAGTTTTGGGCTTGACGTGGCTTGACTTCCCCTTTGTCAAGCCTTTCTGCTCCTATCATACATGTGGCTATATTACGGCTGTATCATTATCTATGTTAAGAACGCGCTTGTCTGACTTTGCATCATGTATGCTCGAGATATCCTGAGATGAGAGTCCGAACCGGAGGTTGTGGGGGAGGGCCCAGGGAATGTCATTGCTTTCATCTTACTAGGACACAGGCCCAAAAGGTTGCCTGTAAGGTGCAAAGCTAGCAACGGCCAGGTCTAGGTCTAACCTCACTGTAGAAGGAAAATATCCAAACTCTTGATTATAAATCCTTCTTTGCCACATGACTGTGGATTCATGGCACGGTCAGTCATCAACTGGCAGTGCTGCCTGCGGACGCCAGTTCAGCCGCAGCATCACCAACAAAGTAATTTGCTAGCCAACCCATCTCCCTTCCAAACTCTGGCGTCTAGGCTGCTTGGACCTCCTGTCTGTGCTGCCAACACGAAAAGCTTAAAGCAACCTGCACAGGACCAACAGCAAATGGCTCTTGATGGCTTAATGTCTCCACTAGTGACAATCAGAGTTTACATAATTCCTCCAAAGCCATGTAAGAACTGAATGTGAACGGTATGCATTTCACAGTTATCATGGTATCATTGCATACCTCCATGTCAGCGAAACAAATGGGCATGATGTGCTGCAACACCAAGGAAATTAACAACCGGGTGAAGTTCCAAAAACAATCAGGAACTGGCTCAGTAACTGGTCATTTAAAAATGCAAGGCTTTTTCCCCTGTAAGTCTTATGCACCGTTCTTAATGAAACTGTCCCTCCGCAAAGTGCATCTATATCATTTATTTTTTTAGACATTGGTCTACCTGAATTTCTGTCTTCAGTTTGCAAGTGGCTCCCGAGCTACCTACCATCATTTTCGGCATCGAATGCTGCGGCAAGTGTGTGATGCTATGCACACTTTCTCTGCATGCCAAAACGGTGCCGGCCTGAAAAGGACTGCAGTGCCAACCGTGCTTGACCAACCAACTTTCCAAAGCTCCAGAACATTGTCCAGAACAAATTTGTGTATCCAACCCTGAGCAGTATATATATATATATATCACGTGTCATCCAACAATGATTGTCATTGTTGTCCCGACAAAATGCTTGCAACATCTAGAGATATTGAGAAGGACTGGGACCAATCACTGCGGTTCCGCAGTGCTTTCTTTACACACAGGCGGCTGGCAAAAAAACAGTTGAACAGCATGTCTAGGGGAAAGGAATAAATCGGATTGCTAGCTTTTCAATATCAGCAGCACCTATATATAATAGACACATATATCATACAATTATTATATATAGCAGCATATCCCAAAGACCTACAAGCTGCTGATAGGTTCCAAACGATTGGAAGCTCCAGCCAAAACCAAAGAGCAAAGCAGCCCCCTTTCGTTGCTAGCACGGATCCATTTGTGATGGCGTCCGGCACCAGCCCCCCCAGAAACCTCCTCCAGCAAATAACAGCCTGAAGCCATCCCGTTCGAGGCATAAAATGTCTCGTCAGTTCTTCATGGTATCTCCAGTTCACAGGTGCAAAGAAGCAAGAACACCACATTTATCATTTGTGAGCTCCCAGTGCTGCTTGCAAAAGAAGGGCGTCCCGAAGCAGCGTCTTGGCAAGCTTCAAGAGGTCTCCGCAGGTTGGGGCTACACCAACGCCATCACATGGAACCCTCCTATGGCTATCACTCAGAGACATAAACTCGAAACCTTCTACATCGGAGCGACCTGAGACGGATGGATCTCAACAACTCAAGCATATTGTATCCATTTCTCATCATGTCTGCAATCCTGGCTTCTAAATAGAAAGGCCAACATCGTTGGTAGCCGGGTATCCAAGGCCATGCTAGTGAACAACCAAATGAGAAGGCTTCAAACCCTGAGAGCTCAGTGGATTCATGCAAAACGTGCTTCAAAGCCACCAAGCGACTGTCCTCTTGCAGTGGCCAAGTGCTGCGCCGAAACAAATGCAAAACTCATGAACACATGTTCTTTCTCGGTAGCTCGGAAAGACAATAATCCTTATATAATCCTTATATACAGTAATTACTTGTCTAATGAGTTATTGTTCTGCTTTCTTCTCAGCCTTGTGTCTTCGGTCGTCTCAGTTCGGGAAACTACTGTAACTGTTTTCCTCAGTTTCTACATCCAAACCAAGGGGCTTTTTGCTCCTGTGCACAATGGCCGCGTCGGGTGCGCAGAATCGGCCACCTCGAAGACCAAGCCCAAAGCCCATGAGGGCTTCGTTGGACTGCTTTGCGGAAGAAAAAACTGGATGGCGAGACAGCCGTTTCTCTCTCAAGATAAGCACGTATGAAAATCATTGAACATCTATGACATGTAATTCGATACACATTGAAATATTACGACATATCTGTCTGCTTGAGGTTGCTGACTCTTGTAAGTTCGAGACTGCTCATAGGAAAGAAAATGACAGAACCGCAAGGATGCTGCTTGACAAGCTGGGTCGATACGAACAACACTCTGTGAGAAGAATGACAAATGACCCTAGATGTGCCCCCGACTTGGATCTCCAGGGAATGCAATCAACTCTCCTGGAACAACACTTGGTGCTCAAGATGATGCAAGAGCCGCGGGCACAAACGAGATACGCCACTGCCTCAGGTGCCTAGTGTTGATTGAGATCAACACAACCGTCCCATAAAACCACCAAGAATTGCACATTTGCTTGTTTTGGGCCCACACAGGTGCAGCTGATCATCAAGCTAACTCATCCATTAATCTGCTTGTGTCCTGGCGCCCAAGAGTAAGATCAAAATGCTTTCTTAGGGCGTTGGGGTGCTATTTGAGGGTACTTGTGGCCATTCATGTAAATCAACAAACATTTCAGGTCAGAAACAAAGCATTTGTAGCCCCCTCTTGGCCTCCGCACGTGCACTCATCATTCCTCAGAAACTGCTTCGGTGGCGGTTGATGTGATGTGGGGACCATGATGAGGTGTAATCAGGTAGCATCTCCACGAATCCTTCAAAACTACAAGCACCCAGCAAAGTTCAACATGGCTTGCAACTTAACAACATTATATAATCCTTGTTTTCCTCCACTCGTTTCAAATGGTAACACGCCCATGCCGCAACCAGTCCTTTTGACCCCGCGACCCGACAGTTCTCCTAAAAATCATTATAATAGTTGTTTTTTTAATCCTAGTCGCCTAGTCATAGCAAAAACTGACAGTTGTAATTATGGGCTTGGTGAGGTCTGATGCAGCCCAAGAGCAGCCGCAACTTCCAAATCCATCTGTGTCAGCCACACCACAAGCTTGTCAGAAATTGCCACAAGTTTCTGGGATGAACGAGCCGAAGCACCCGAGAAATCCGAAGCACCAACAGTTTTTTTCACTGTCTGGGCCACCCGAACAAATTCCATCAGTCCTCGTAGCCTCACTGCAAACCACGCGAACCACTGTTAAACTTGGCATTAGTTTCCAATTGGCAGTTGTGCGCTCTGCAGGATACCAATTCAGAGTCCAGAGTATCCAGTGTCCTGGATCATTGTCCATGTCAAGACTACACACCTCGCAATGTAACTGAACATATGTTCAAGGGGGCGCCATCTTTCACCTGACAGCACAATACATTGTCTATGTCGTCATGTCGATCGAATGTCTCCACTAAAAGCTTTCAAAACAGGGCGGGGTAAATATGGTCAAAATCCCCAACAAACATGAGATAAATAGCATCAATACCATGAACTATTTTTCATGCAGGGTGGTTGATTCTAAAGTCCGCCCAAGCAACAACGAACAAAGCCATGAATTTCATTATAACATCATCCTTGAATGAACACTTCACTTCATGTTATGAGAAACGACCCAAATGTATAATGCCAACTGCGCACTGTCGGGAACATACTGTACCTGTTTGATTGCCATGCCACGTTAACCTTTGCTTTTTCCCGCAGATATAAACACTTTGCGAACTGAGGTTGGGAAAACTGCGTATACGATGGGTAATCTGTTGCGGAATGCTGGAATGCTAGGAAGGTTGCAGCGATTGCCCACGCCCATCTGACCGCTTGCTGGCTTGGATGTATATACAGTATATATATATATATATACGCTAGGACACGCTAGGTGACATTCCACCTCCCCACACACACACACACACACTTAGACATGGGTTTGCAGTTAACTCTGTTCCACAAGGAAATGGATGAGGGAAACGTAAGGTGGCTGAGTCCGCGCAGGTGAATGTTTCAACAGTGTTTGCAAATGCACTCAGAAAACTAGTTACTGATTACATATACTTAGCAGACTGAATTAACGCCGTGCGAGGAAACCTGTTTAGG